CTGAGTCCATCTCATAAAGCTACCTTCAAAGTTACCTTGGGTGGAGAAGGTGTTAGATATGGGAAAACAGAATATCTACAAATATCAAAGAGATAAGATGAGGTAGGGCCACTCAGTACAAGCAGTTGCTGCACAAACTTCCCCTTACTGTCTTGGCACTGCACTCCCAAACTTTTTATTAAAAACCCATTAAAAACTCTTGAATGGAGACGCCAACCATAACAAGTAGTGTGGTCACTTAGTAGCTGCTTATCTACATCACAGGTTGAGAAATTCATTTTCATATTAACTCAAATGGAAATTTGCTGCTCTGTTCTCCTACAGACTATGCACTAACTCATTACCCCATAAGAACTTGTCCCATCCTGGCACAAAGTTAGAGTAGCCCTGGTTGCTCTAACTTATGCCTGATTGCACATGACTCCAAGAAGCCACTGAAACAGCAAGAAATCACTGGGAAATAGGTACACCCAGCCCTGCCCCTGTTTACCCTGGGAAAACTCACTGTGCCAAGGGTAAGGAAGGGGTGGCAAAGAAACTGATATGGTGGCTCTTCTTGGCTACACTAGGATCTCCTATACAGAGGGAATCCTTGAAGAAGGAAAAAGGGAGATTCACTAGCTTTGCACTGGAAGATATTTCCCATAATGTATGTCCACCTCCCACTTGGCTAATGCTTTGTTATTAGCCATGTTCCTTGTTGTCAACAGCCAGGCTGGCAAAGGGTTGTCTTCTCAATATGAGAATTTCTGTCCTCATCCAAAATCTTTTATGAAATCCAGAGCAAATTTTATTTTCAGATTATATTGGGAGACGGGGAAAGGGAACACTTTTGAAAAACAGAGAAAGAAGGTAGTATTAATCCAGTAATTACAACAGCTGTAGCTCCATCAGCACAACAGGCAGTGTTATAGAAATATGGAGCTGTATGCAAAGCATGACATAATTTCAAAGTAATACTAAAGTATAAGACAGTTTTACATACCCTCTGTAGATAAACGTGAGCTCAATTACCAGCAAACCACTATATGAAGTGTAGATTTTTCTAATCAGATATTTGGTATTTTCCATTGATTCGATTAAATGAACAAAGTGCAGTTACATAATCAACCCTGTACTAGCTAAAATTACATACCTTTAACTGGAAAAAAATGAAGCCACATCTACAGTAAATATGTAATTTAAGTAAAACACATTCAATAAATTTAAAAAATCCAAGTTGCAATATTGAAACTTTTTAAAAATGTCAAAGTTAGTCTCTACAGTTCCTGCAGCAGCAGAAATTTAACTGTTTAGGCTGCTGCTCAGATGATACAAGACAAGTGTTTTTTGGTGGGATGGTTGTCATCAGGTCTTTGGTTCAATTAATCCGCAAAGTAGAGCTACCTTTTTACTTTCTGATTGTTAACTGGGACTTAAATATTCCCCTTCCAATTAACTGCCAACACTTAAAACATGTTTTTAAAAATGTAACTACAAAAAACCTCAAAAATTGGCACGGACCTGAAATTAAATATTTTTTTCCCTAATTGACTAGATTTCAAATTGATGTTTCTTAAATACAAAACAATTTTCCCAGCATGTCTTCAGTCAAGAAAAAGCACTTAAGCAAGTGCTTAACTTTAAGTATGTGAGTAATCCCACAGACTTCAGTGCCACTACGCACATTCAATTGACTGTATGTGGACAGATTAGATTCCCTGTTCCTGCACTGAATCCCAGTGTGGTCAGTGAGGCTCTGCATGGGCACCAGTCACAAATTGCAGGATCAGGACTTAAGCAGGACACTTGAAGACCTCTAACAATTAAGTAGAAGTGAGAGTAAGTTATCAGCAAAATGTAATCTAAAAAGAAGAAAGAAGTTAGCCCACTGAAGGCAGAAACATTTTAGACATTTTGCAAGATGACAAAAAAAAGAAAAAAAACAAAACCCTTTTCATTCATGGATTTGTTCAGACAATTTACAGCAACGGATTTGTCATAGTCAACCGAAGTTACTTTTCACTATAGTACCGGTAAAATCAGTGACAATAGTGACTTGTAATATCCTACTTTGTTGTTTTGAAAATTAGGATATTTTAAAATGACAGAATATGAATTATAAGTTTTTAGAGGCTACAGCAAGAACCTGCAATTCCCAGGATAAATTCCCTACTTCTATAGAATATAAAAAGACACCTCACATACTAAGCTATATTTTCCCAATTCCAGACAGAAATTGTTCAAGAGATGCCATCAACTAACTCAGAAAGAATTTTTTTTAGTCATGTTACTCACACATTGGATTATTTGAAGTTAATCCATTTTTTTAAAATCCAGTTTGTTTTTATTCATGCTTTGGTTGCTTTCTGCTTTTCTTCCTACTTAGAAATTTAAACCAGTTTAAGTCAGCAGCACTGCCGTGATTGGAGTGCTTTGATTTTTAATACTGTCAGGTCAACACCCAAGGAACTGAACAGACTCAGCATCTTGCAGGATCAGGCACTGTAAGGCCGGCTTTGAGTAGAATACAGCATTACCAATGCTGTCGTGACTCAAAAATCTACAGACACAAGTCTTAAGGCTTGGTTTTACTCGACTTTACTGTAAGGCAGTGATGGGCAACCTGCGGCCCATAGGCCACACACAGCCCGTCAGGGTAATCCGCTAGCGGGCCGCCAGACTGTGTGTTTACATTTGCAGGGCTGCCCGCAGCTCCCAGTGGCCGTGGTTCACCAGTAGATTACTCTGATGGGCAACCTGTGGCCCACCACTGCTGTAAAGAGAAGTCCCATTTGTTTTTCTAACTACAACTACATTTCCAGCAGGGGTCAGATGGGATATGGGGATGGGAGGAGAGGTGGCAATGCTCTTCTTCACAAAATAAACAAAATAAAAAGCAAGTTGTCAAAATGAAACCTTCTCACATGCAGGTGTTTAAAACATGATCACATAGCTCTCTGAACGCAGCTCTCCCTTGGTGGTGCTGATCTGCCCATAGGTTCTGCAAGGCTCCTTGGGCTTGGCTACTATGTGACTGGGGGATGGAGGGGAAGAGAAGAGGGAAAAGAGGAGGAAAGTAGAGTTATCTTCCAAACACCACCGCAGGCAGGACACCAAAATGAGATGTCACTCAGTACATTGTGCAGACCTGCGATTCTCTCTTTCCTCCCTTACACGAGGAATTAAACAGTTAATGTTGGACTGATAAACATATCTTTGCATCAGTTTACACTCTTACATATTTGAGATTTTCTTCACATCTGTAATAGCTAGAAACTTACTTTTGTTTGTTAAATTAAAGCTGAGATTCTAGAGAACAAGATGCTATCTCCAGAAAGGTGCAAGTATGCAGAACCACAGCGGAGTCCAAAAGTGATTTCCAGGCTGACCTGGCATTCGCATATATTATTGTCAAATGTTTGTTAAAGTAACAAAAAGATATTAAATGCACACTATAACAATTACATTTAGATTTTTAGAAGATATGTGGAAGGAAACAGTTATATCACCTCACTACACTTCTCCTTGTTTCTGCACCAAAAAGCCTTATAATAAAAATATAGTTGCAAATTTTGTTTTCTTTTATATATTGGAAATAGCTGTTTAGGGGAAGGTGGAGGTAAAATGAGAGGGTTGTTTTTGAATTTGAGCACTGCAGCGAGTAAGTCATTTGCACATACAACTTTTAAATCCAGTAAAAAAATAAATTAATGTATGCCTCCTCCTCCCCAAACAGCCAGTACCCTACGCAACAACTCTTAGAAATATTACTCATTTTTAAAAAGGAAATGGACTTATGAAATTATTATCGGCATTTCTAAACCCCTAATGCTACAGTAGCTGGAAGCTCTTTAATATTCTTCCTCCCCCTCCCCCCATGTACAAGTGTCTATTGAATGAACTTGCTCATATGTGCAGCCTAGATAAAAGATTTTACAGAGCCTAAATAACATACAAGTACAGAAGTTTTACATGTTATCATGCCAAAGGGACCGCTTTTAGCACCTTACTAAGCACTATGGCAAAAATGTAAAAAAGGAGCCTTCCTCATTCCTTGACTGGCTAAGGAGATCTTTCTAAGTAAAAAAGGTGTGAGCACATTTATTCTCAACTTTAACCAAACAACATTCAGGCTTTGCCGTGCTCTTTTCCCACTTTCTTGGTTTGCCCTGTTTTATAACAGAATAATGAGAAACTAAATGTAATCACAATATGATTTAGTCAGGTGGAAGTTGGGGGGGGGGGAACCTTCCAGAGCCTAAAGTGCACTGGTCAGCAGTTACTAACTAAACACGATAAGCACCAGTCTCAAGGAGAGGAAGGTGGATTTTGATCTGAAACAAGCCACGTTGCTCCAGTTTACAAGACACCAGCATGACAGGATGGTTTTTAAAACAATTGTAGTTAGTTAGCATTAGTAACCAGACTGATTCTACTGAACCCTGGAGACTTTATTGATCAACAAGATAGACTCACATGCCCATGCCAATCCAGCTCCCCCTCTCCCCCCAACCCTAGGAACACATAGATCTCTGCGCCATCCCTATACAAGGCTGCTGCGTGGTCAAACAATCCTGTCTGTCTCCTAGAAGATTCAAGGCTGACTTCCCCCTTCAGGGAGACTGTGCGGCAAGCCGGACACCGAGACCCCAGCAGCTGCTGGTCCTTTAACTCCCTGGCCGATCTTTCCGCTCTGCCTGCAGGTGCTGCACAGCCAGGAGCAGCTACTGATCCCTGGAGGCTCCGCGGGGGAGCCGTTTCGCTGTGGATCCAAGCTGGCTCCGGCGGTGCCCTGGCTAATGGGGAGGCAGAAGAACCGGCGCGACGCCCCAGCCTCTCCTGCTGCAGACGGCGAAGCTGTGGCCGCCGCAGGCGGCAGCCTGACAAGCAGGGAGCTGCTCTCCCTCTTCCTCCGAGCGGGGGAGTTACACTCACTCGGGGGCGCCCGGAGCCCCCCAAGAAGCTTCCCAGCAGGGGCACAGGCTGGCGCTGGGCCGGGAGTGGCGGCAGCTACTCACCGTGTAGAGCAGGTTGAGGGCGCACAGGCAGTTCTTGGAGCAGGTGAAGCCGCCGCAAACCATCTCGCCGGCGCCCTTGGCCGCGGCTGGAGAACGGGGCTGCCGCGGGCACGCAGCGAGCGGAGGCAGGAGCGGCGAGGGCCCTGGGGCTGGTGCCTGCGGTCTGACCGCTCGCCTCTCCCTCGCGGCGGGGCAGGTGGCAGCTGGAGCCCGCAGTGCGCTGGGAACTCACACGCCCTCCCGGCGTGTCGCGCCGGCTATGCCACCTCCTTGGGGGGTGGGGGGAGCTGCGCTCGCCGCCGCCGCGCTCGCTGATTGGCTGCACTTCGGCCACAAAGGTAAAAATATTCAAATGAGTGGAGCGCTGAAGGTGGCGGCGGCTGGAATCCGGGAGGGGGAGGGGATCGTCCCGGTAGCCGCGGGGAGCCCAGGTGAGGGCGGTGGGAGCCGGAGCTGTAGCCTGGGGAGCAAAAGGTGACACGCAGCGAGCCAGATGTACACTATTGAGGGTGCATCTGCCCTGGTAGGTTCCCACTGGCTTGGGGCGCCCCGGATCTTTCATTTGTGCGACCCGGCTTTAGTAGCAGGGTGCATCTGTCTGAATTTCATCCTCCCCCCCGGGTATCCACTATGCTTAGGTCTGAAAACACAGGTGCAAGGAGTTTGCAGGCCTGATTCAACCCTTGGGTAGCAAGCTTGATAAGCTTGATGCCCACAGATCTAAACTATCAATATACAACTCTGGGTGCTAAATAAGTAGTTAAGCATAGACAGTGTGAAATAATGTAGTGCAAGCCCCCAAG